AAAGCACAGGGATTTTAAAGTAGTTCCAAAATGCTGCCAAGTTTGCAAACTACCTCTCCACCGACCTTCAGGCCATCCTCTGACGTCTTCCACTTTGCTCTCCCCTGGGGAGACCCCAGAGATCTTAAGAGACCTGGTCTTTTTTTTTTTTTTAGTATCCTTTCACCAAAATTCCCATCTCCAACATCTCAAGCCAAGTGGAAAGGGCTTCACCGTTTGCAAGGAGTCGGGGCCACTTACCTTAAGGCTGCAGGCTTCCTCCTGGAGAGAAGCCATTTCTTCTACAGAAGGTCTGGCAGGGCACAGAGGGGATCCCCCTGACGAAAGGAACTCTCCTGAGCTCTGATTCAGGCCTCCTTTGGAGACGGCCCCCCCCACACCTGGGCCAGAGGAATGGGAGGAGGAGGAGGAACTTCTGCGGCGGGATGTGCCCCAGGACACACCATGCTCCTTCTGGGTTTTCATGCGCTTGGGGCTGCTGGCCCCTCCTGAACGCGACACAGAGCTGTGAGCTGGCCGGCTGGAGGGGGCCACATCACTGGGCTCCCGGAGGCAGCTGCGCTTGCGGGAACTCCGCTCCGAAGGGTTGCTCCAGTGGTACTTGACCTTGCGCCTCTCCGACGCCATGGGCACCTGCAAGGTGAAGAGGAGGCCGGGAATCCACCACCACTCCTGCTATAGCTGACCCTCCTCAGCCTCCCGCTATCCCGGGACTCCCCGAGGGAGGGCTGGCCAGTAGGTCAGAGCCAGGGGCTGGCTTCACTGACCTTTCCCCCTTCTTTCCACTGCCCATCACAGTGCTCAAGGTTTCAGAGATGTCAAAGCGCTTCGAATGTCTGCGATTCCAAAGCGCTTCGGAGAAGTCCAGAAGGTCCCAGGATTTACCAAAGGCTTCGTTCGATTTGGTTTCCGAGCCCACAACGTGCTTCCGCGATTACCAAGCGCTTCAGTTTGCACAGCGCTACTTCGGGGATGTCAAAGCGCTTCCGGGACTACGACGCGCTCTGACTGAGTTTACAATACAAAGCCCTTCGCAGATGTCAGCGCTTAAGAAGGCTACAGGGCGCTGTTAGGTCCACACCTGGAGGCCAGACCCGCAGTCCCTGGGCGGGCGCGCGGCCCGGAGGCCCGAAACGCCGAGCGCGGGCCGCAGAGCAGGGCCAGACCCGGCACGCAGCCCGCCCTGCCCCCGCGGCCCCGCCGACCAGCCCCGGGCCGGAAGGGGGCGAGCCGCCCCTCAGAAGCCGGTGGCGCCCCAGTCCGCCTCCTCCCGGGTCCGCCCCGCCCCGCCTTCCGTTCCTGCTCCCGCGGCCCGGACGTCGGCCCCGCAGTCTGCACCGGCCTGACGCCCTGCCCTGGCCGCCCGCTCGCCGCCCGCCCCAGTCCTGCGGCACCGGCCCTGCCTCCGCCCGAGCTCTGACCACACCGGCCGCCGCTGCGCCCGCCTACCGGAATGAGCAGTGAGGTCTGCGGCCGGGCGGGCGGAGGAGGCGGGTCCTGCGCTGAAGGGAGGGCGCCTATTGGTCAAATCGGCAAGGGGCGGGACTCCAAGCAAGACGGAGCTTTCCTTTTGGCCAGGAGGTCTGGAGGCGGGACCCTACGCCTTAAGAAGCTCGTCCATTGGTCGGAAGCTAGCCGGGGCGGAGCCACTCACGTTGGCTCGAAGAGCGCGAAGCTAAGGCCGGGCCGCAGTTCCCCAGGCCTGCCGTTGGTGTGGGTAGGGGACAAGGGGAGCCGGGTTCCCTAGGGCTGCTCCCTGCCACTCAGCGCTGTCCCCCTTAGCAGGACGCCTTCAGATCCAGATACGCTCATCGAACCCACACCAGCATCATCACTCCATTTACAGAGACCAAGTGACAAAACACAGAAAATGACAGAATTGTAATTAGAAATTAGAAACTACGGGGGAAAAATAAAAAAGACTACAAAAAATGTAAAATATCCTTCTGGCAAAAAATATAAAAGTTAAAAACAAGGTACAAACTTGGAAAAACATTTGGAACACGTGGCAAAGGGCTGATGTCCCTACTATGTAAAAACTCTGGCAATAAGATATTTCAGTGGGCAAAGGAAATGAACTGATGAACGAAGCAAATCACGAAATTCGTTAGATTTCATTTTAACATATGAAAAAATGGGTCCATTTCAGTCATTTAGAGTACAAATAAAATTATGTTTTCACCCATTAGGTTAGCAAAGATCAAATAGCGTGATAACATGCTTCGCAGTTGAGGATGTGGGGAAACGCACTTCCATACATCACCGTATTGGCGAAACCTCCTTGGAAGGCAGCACCATTGGGAGCAGGAAGAATGGAAACAATCTCAGTACCCAGCAAGTGCTAGTTATGTAAATTACAGAAGGACCATACAATGGAATACCGGGCAAAAAGAATGAAGTGCTCCAAAAGTACTGTTGAGGAAGAATGGCCAAGAAAGACGTGAGAAAACACAGGTTCCAGACTGAATGAAAATACCCTGTGTACAGCAAAAAAATAATAGATGAGAGACGAGTGGAGCCTCGAGATAAAATGTTTTTAAATGCCTGAGAGTAACCACTCTGTATTTGTGTGTTTCTAACTGCTTTATTGAGATATAATTTACATACCATAAAGTTCAACGATATATAATTCTATGATTTTTTTAGTACATTTAGAGTTGTGCAACCATCACCATAATCTAATTTTAGAACTTTTCATCACCCTAAAATCTTGTGATCATTACCACTTCCCCCCCCAAACCACTCCCCCTCCACATACACACACACACACACACACACACACACACACACACATCTAATTTCTGTCTCTATGGATTTGCCTGTTCTGGACATTTCACAAAAACGGAATCATACAATATATGATTGGCTTCTTTTACTTAGCATTATCTTTTCAAGTTTGCCCATGTTGTAGCATGTATCAGTACTTCATTTTTTATGGCTGAATAATAGTACATTGTATGGATATACGACATTCTGTTTTCATCTTTTGATGGACATTTGGGTTGTTTCTACCTTTTGGCTATTATGAATATTGCTGCTATGAACACTGGTGTGTAAGTTTTTGTATGAATATGTTTTCATTTCTCTTAGGTAGATACCTAGAGTGGAATTGCTGGGTCATATGGAAACTATGTTTAACTTTTCCAACTTTTCCAAAGTGGCTGGCCATTTTACAATCCCACCAGCAATGTATGAGGGTTCCAATTTCTCTACAACCTTGCCAGCGCTTGTTTTTTTGTTTGTTTGTTTGTTTGTTTGGTACGCGGGCCTCTCACTGTTGTGGCCTCTCCCTTTGCGGAGCACAGGCTCCGGACGCGCAGGCTCGGCGGCCATAGCTCGCGGGCCCAGCCACTCCACGGCATGTGGGATCTTCCCAGACCGGGGCATGAACCCGTGTCCCCTGCATCGGCAGGCGGACTCTCAACCACTGCGCCACCAGGGAAGCCCCAGCGCTTGTTTTTGTCTGTCTTTTCCATTCCAGCCGTCCAAGCAGGTGTGAGTGGTTATTTCATTGTGGTTTTGATTTTTTCTAATACCTAATAAAATTTATTTTAAATACCTGATAGGAATGACAAAACAGATGACAAATGTTTAATTTTTAACATACATGATAAAGTCACTGGAATGCTTAGTACCCACATTCAGAGAAATGTTGTTAGTATTGCAATATTTGTCAAAATAAATCTATCTCATTTTAATTGGAATTTCCGGTCATTCTCAGAAATCTCTTTAGAAGATATTTTTCCCCCAGGGGTGTCTCTCTGTATGGTGGTTTTGATTTTCATTTCCCTAATAACTAATGAAGTTGAGCACAAAGATTTTTTAAAAACATTTTTTTTATCATCTCTGGAAGAATCCCCAAACTAGTAACAGCCGTTGCCTCTGAGAAGAAGAAATGAGGGACTAAGATCCCAGTGGGGAATCCCCCATGTAATCTTTTGTACTGTTTGGGTTTTTTGTTTGTTGCTGTGTGCATCTATTACCTTAAAAAAGTCAGGCGTTCCCTCTAGGAATTCATGGAAAGACACCTTGGTGCTCATGAACCCCTGGAATTCATATACAGAATTGTGTATGAATTTACAGCTTGCTGGAGGAAGAAGGTCCAAAGCTTTCATAGATTCTCAAAGTGGTTCTCTGACTTCTTCGGAAATTTGTGAAGCCCTGGTCTAGAAATGCAAATCTGTCTGGGTAATATTACCCAATTGGCAACTGTCCTCTATTGCTCAAAACGCTTTGGAAACATACTGCTCATAATTTTAAGGTGATTACCACACGCCAGGTCATATTCAGGGCACATAACACGGACTCTGGTTGAATCCTCACAGCCACCAGAGTTTAAGACAAGGGTGGGACTTCCCTGGTGGCACAGTGGTTAAGAATCCACCTGCCAATGCAGGGGACACGGGTTTGATCCGTGGTCCAGAAAGATCCCACATGCCGTGGAGCAACTAAGCCCATGCACCACAACTACTGAGCCTGCGCTCTAGAGCCTGCAAGCCACAACTACTGAGCCCAAGCGCCACAACTACTGAAGCCTGTGTGCAGCAACGAAGACCCAACGCAGCCAAAAATAAATAAATAAATAAAAGTAAGGGCTTCCCTGGTGGCTCAGTGGTTAAGAATCCACCTGCCAATGCAGGGGATATGGGTTCGAGCCCTGGTCCGGGAAGATCCCACATGCCGCAGAGCAACTAAGCCCGCGAGCCACAACTACTGAAGCCCGCGCGCCTAGAGCCCGTGCTCCGCAACAAGAAAAGCCACCGCAATGAGAAGCCCGCGCACCTCAACGAACAGTAGCCGCCACTCACCGCAACTAGAGAAAGCCCACACGCAGCAACGAAGACCCGACACAGCCAAAAATCAATAAATAAAATAAATTTATGAAAAAATAAAAAATAAAATAGGACACGCTGAATTTTAAAAGACTTGCAACGTGACTTTTCAGAAATATACCCACTGCGATAAATGTTAGGTACATGAGAAAAATAAACGCTTAATGTCTTTTTAAAAATTTATTTAACAAAACAGGACAAGTGCATTTTCAAAGTATTTCTGTAGCCATGTCTCACCCATTCCTCCCCAACAGCCCAGGGAGGGAGGATGAATGCATGTTACTTACAAGGAAACTGAGGTTCCAGAAATTAAATTAGCAGCAGAATCAAACATGAACCTAGTTCTCCTGGTTCTTTATCTACAGCCATAAATAATACATACTCTCTAAATAAAAACTATTTAAAATATTAGCATTAGTGGAATGGGAGGATAAAGGTGCAGAGTGGGCATTAAATAAATATCTGTGGGCTGCAATATTTCTGAAAGAGAAAGCAGAAAACCTCCAGAGCCTTCTGCCAGGTGTCTGGCATTTGTAAAACTTGAGACCTTGACAAGGGAGTGAAGCACCGAAATGGGACACAAGTTGAAAGTCTTTCATGTAAAGGTCATGGAAGTTTGCAGGCGGTTGGTAGCAAATATTACCCAGAGATCTTAGCTTTGGAAAGTTCCATCAGCGCTCAGAATGCTCAATCGGTTGTCAAGGGTGAGAGCCAGGCAATGGCATCTATTAGGGTGGTTATTGTCACATGCTCCCCGGAACCACAAAATCGCCCACATCCTGGGCTCATGTATCAGGGTTTCCCCTTCAGTCTCCTGATAACCCAGAGCTCTGATTGACAAATCTCAGAAAGGAAGAGGACTTCATGGATTTTTGTGTCTCTGAAAGCTGAGGTCCCGTCTCCCCTAACTCACTCTGGTAAAATGGAAGTGTCTCTGCCGCCACCCAAGGGAAGCTGATGTTTGGTGTTTCCTGGGAGATCTTGATTCTTCCTTAGATCTTTTTCTCGATTGACGTTCATTTTTCCAATGGAGGACGAGGGTCCTCAGCTATGTTCGAGTCATCAAGGGCCAAAAAGCTCAATGCTATCCAGTTTCTCTTCTTTGTAGAGCTGGATATTCTCCATCAGTTTCTTTTTGGCCTCATTGATCTCAATTTTCCACGAAGTCTCTGTAGCTGACATTCAATGGAAAGTAAAGAACTTGAACAAAAGGTATTTGGAAACAGTTGTTATAATTCTTAGAAAGTCAGACTTGGTCAGAGTTTTTCACTTAAATCGGACTTCTGAATCAGGCCCTGAGTGGAATGAGCATTGTCATTGCTTCTGCCTTTTCAGGGAAGGCCTGTCACCTGCCCCCACCTTTCAGAGAGGAGGGGCTTCCATGCTTCTCCCCTGGGGGTGGGGGGCAATGTTAGAAAGAAGCTTACACTCTCTCTCTCTTCTTCCACTCACCTCCATGTGGGAGGAGGAACAACAGGAAAGGTCAGAGCCTGAGACATTCACAGAGCCACGTTTACCAGGGGATGAGGACGCTGAATTGTAAAGGCCTTCCGAATTTTTATTTCAGAAGGAAACCTGGTGTGTTTGGACCCCAGGGTCAGAAATAGAAGCTATCTTTGGAAGCAGCTGGCAAGGTGTGAAGTGAGCATAGAGAGGCGGCCGGTGACAGACCACAAGGGGCTTTGCTGGTCCCAAGGGAGAGTTTTTACTTGGTCTCTAAGTGCAATGGGGAACCACAGAAGGGCTTTAAACGAGGAGTGACATGAGTTGTTTTTAAAAACCACTCTGGCTGGCCCCTGGATGAAGAACTGGTGAGGGGCCAGAGCAGATCAGGGAGGCCACAGGGAGGCTGTGCGCTCATCCAGCAAGAGGAGAGTAGCTTAGATGAGGGGTAAGGGGACGGGGACGGGCAATGCAGGGAAGCAGATGGAGCAGAGGGATATTTAGGTCAGTGGACAGGACTGAGTGAGGGACTTGACATCGGGGGCCGGGGGAGAAGGAGGAGGACTCTCTTGGCGTGGCCAGCTGGTAGGTGAACAGCTGGATGAGCAAATGAACGCGTGAATGCGGGAGAGAAGGAATAAATGATAGACTGAGTTGGGGACATAAATGAGAGTGTATAAGGACTCAGATCCCACGCTTACCATCCTGGGGAGGTTCTGCACTGGCGCGGGCCTCAGAGGAGGAGTCAGCTTCCACTGCCCCACCAGCCGGCAGCTCACTTTCTCCATCCGCTGGGGGGGGAGGCGAGTAGGCAGCCCCGGCCCAGGGTGCCTCCCTCACGCAGCAGGAGCCTTCGAAGCTGGAATTGTCCACGTCGTCCGTTTCTTCTGGGGTATTGGAGGAAGAGCCTGTGCACTCGGAAAGACCACTCCAAGGGAGCGACGTCTCCTGACCTCTCAGCTGCTCTTCCACAGCAGCCACAGAGCCACACACCTTGGGGAAGAGAGAGAGAACGCACCACAGGCACAGAGATACAGATATTTGTACTTTTGCTGGTTGAGACCCTGGGTCTAGCTGCCCCAGCAATACCTATGCTGCCTGCAGTTTGGTTAAATGAGCAATAAATCATTCATCCTCTCATTCATAGGCTCCCTGCTTCCTTCTCTGTTACGTGGTTACGTGTGTGTCTGTGGGTCGAATCTAATAATTCGAGTTGAGTTTCTATCACTTTCAGCTAGAAATGCCCTAAGTAATATAGATATTGCCTTTGAGGGCTTTTCTGGTTAGGGAGGTTAGTAAAATTAGAGGCAGGCAGGGAAGGAATATTTCTTCTTTACACACACACACACACACATAAACGGCACACAAACCTACCCTTAGTAAAAATAACAAATTTCATTTGCTCAGTGCCTTGCAGTTTACAAAGCACATTTGACACATAATGTAAATGACTTTTTAGAAATAAAAAATTAAAAGATCAGAGAGGTTAAGTTCCCTGCCTAAGGTCACCCAGTCAGTGAGTGGCAGAGCTGACCACTAAACCCAAGTCTGCTTCTCTTCAAGGCCATGACCCTACTGACCTCTCAACTTCCTAGCTTGGTTGTGAAATACTGCGGACAATGACCATTTTCATTCCTCTTTGTATATGAAAGTACCCTATCCCCTTTATTCTACATAGCAAATGCTTCCTCATGCTTCAAGGCCCAGTTCAAATGTCACCTTTTGAGATAAATCTTCACAATATATGCCCAATAAATACTTGCCAAGCTAAAAACTACAAAACTACATAACTAGGTTCTGGCCTAGGTTCTGGCCTATGGGAGAAGAAGTGATATGTGCATTTCCAGGTCACACCCTTACAAGGAAGGGTATATGTTCTCCTTTTTAACCCCCTTTTAGTGGCTGGAATGCAGATGTGATGGCCTGAGCTAGAGCAGCCTTTTTGGATTCCGAAGTGGAAGTCACATGATAAGGGTAGCAGAGCAACAATACAGGAGCCCAAATCCCCAATACTGCGGCACTGCGACATCAGCTCTGCACTGCCTACATTCAAACTGTTGAGCTAAACAGAACAAACTTTTATCTCACTTGGAGTCTCCTCATTATAGCAGCTTCTTTGAATGTACTTTAAGTGATACACTGAACAAAAGAGTAAAATGAATGAAGGAATGAAAGAATAAGTGGTTGAGGGAGAGACATCTTTTTAAAACATAAGTCTGATTATGTCCTGCCACTGCTTAATACCCCCAGTGACTTCCTCAAAACCCTGACTGTGGCTGCAAAGCCCTCTGTTGTCGGGCTCCTCCTTCCCCAGCAGCCTCATCACAAGCCACTCTGCCCCAGGTACTCTGTGTTCTAGCCACTCTGACCTTATTCCAGGCCCTTGACCTTCTAAGCTCTCTCTCAACTCAGGCTATTTGCATGAATTGTTCCTTCTGCTTCGGTTGCTCTTCATCTGCTTACACATCACTTCCTTGGGAAAGTCCTGCGTGGGGCTCCCGTAATATGCTACACCAGCGCTCACCAGGTGGTTACTACACAATGTCTGTGAACTCCAGGAAAGTGGAACTGGGCCTGCCTTGTTCCCCGATATATCCCCGGGGCCCAGCACACCACTGCTGAATGAGTGACTGAACACTGTGGCACACGGGCAGCTGGAGCACAGCCTAGACTGAGAGCGGTGACTTGGTCTCTAGCTCCTGCCATGTCCTGGTGCAAGAGGGTAGAGCTGGGGCTGAGCCAGGAGTCCAGAGGGCTCTGACAGAAACTCCCTCTGGCCTCATCTCCCCCTCTCTTGGCCTCAACATCTCCATCTGTAAAAGGGGAGGGTTGGGCTATAGCAGTGGTGTTTTTTGTTGTTGTTGTTGTTGTTGTTTTGCAGTACGCAGGCCTCTCACTGCTGTGGCCTCTCCCGTTGCGGAGCACAGGCTCCGGATGTGCAGGCTCAGCGGCCATGGCTCACGGGCCCAGCCACTCCGCGGCATGTGGGATCTTCCCGGACCGGGGCACGAACCCGTGTCCCCTGCATCGGCAGGCGGACTCTCAACCACTGCGCCACCAGGGAAGCCCTAACAGTGGTGTTTGAAGATTTTTTTTTTCAGCTACCAAACCCTTTCCTCAGATAAAATACTGAGAACCCAATACAATTATGAGAAGTGACAGTGGATGTCTGGTTGGAGTCATGGGTGGGGCCTGCAGCCATCCACAGCCCTCTTCCTGCCTCTTCCCAAGGAGCCCCTCTCTGTCAGACACCCCTTGAAAATCACTCCGTGGGATGATCTCTATAAGCCCTCTCAGGCAGTTATTTTGTACTTAGAAAGGCCTAGTAAAGTCGGTGCCCAAATTTACACCTGTTACCATGGAAACCCCCTCTGCATATCCTGTCCATAGGAAAATGTTTTATCCTCTGTGGTGGTTGATGTCTGCCTAGTCCATGGGTTAAGGAATGATCCCTTTCTCTGGAACCTGGCCCTTCCACCTTCCAGGCTTGACCTCCTGGCCACCGGGTTTATATACCGGACCCCCACCTTACCTGATAGGCCAACAGGTAGACACCTGACCCTAGCTAAGCCAATCAGTTTCTCTCACTAAGAGGTTGGAATTGGGCTGCTCAGTGAAGACAGAACCATGACATGTAAATGAATACGGCTGTATCCCCTGACCAAGAGGATGGAGGGAATGAGAAGGGGCCTACAGAGAGGAGGAGAAATAAAGCCCGTTCAGAGAAAGCAGACGGACTTCTGTTATATCCGAGGGTGTGGTCCTGGGCACCCTCAGGACCAGACTCCAGTTTGGCTGCTGGGAGCTCCAGCAGACACTGCTGTTTGCAAACAAATATGGCCCTGGTGTACGAAATCACTTCTCGGTAAAGGCATCGGTAAAGGGATCGTGACAGAGCCCCTGGTAAAGCAGACTCATGCAGCCGGGGAATCGAGGCCCTGCTGACGCAGGACAGGGCTCATCGCTGGGGGAAGGCTGAACGTTAGGCTCACCTCCGCCAGGCTGGCGTTGCGCCTCCGCAGGCAGAGGCAGGCGGCCATGGCCAAGGCCTCGGCGCAGGCCTCTGGCAGCTTCCCTGCTCTCTTCTCCAGGTAATTCTGGCAGATCTCCTTGGCCATCACTTTCTCCACATCTGTCTTACTGGAGCAGAGCCGTGTGGTGCTGCTGGGAATTTCACTGAGGAGTAAATCCTTCTGTGGGAAGAAGAGTGGAAACACCCCCCGTGTGAGCTGCAGGGGTGTGGAGTCTAACCACACATGCCCCACCCACCTCCAGGATTGCACCACAGCGGCAAACACTCAGAAAACCAACAGTGTTTTTAAAACTAATTGCAAGGATCCCAGGACCAAGTAAAACGGCAGAACTGGAGAACTGCTAAATTCCCCACATGTACAGGGCATTCCATACCACACTCATAAGCCCCGTCAGGCAGGGGGGCCTTGGGTTGCTTCATCAGGAAAATGGGGATAAGAGGACTAACACAAAAATTAAATGACATAGGGCATCTAAAGCATAACGTGTGAAGAAGTGTGATACTTGACACAATCAACATTCAATAGTCTATTAGTGATAATAATTAATAGTAATAATAGCTACCATTTATATAGTACTTACTACGTGCTGAGCACTTTACTTACACCAATAACTCATCTTATTAATAACATTTACAGGAAAAATCTCTCATGATACAAAATAAACATTTTAGGATGTAGGATTCTGACACATGTATATTTAATAGGAGATGTACTATATATAATATTATGTATATTTTTATATTTTAAATTTTGTATTTACATGTTACAACATTTTATGCTACTTAGAAAGCAGAAATCTGAACTATTCCTAAAACAGAAGATATGCTGTATAAATAATAATAAATATATTACTATATATTTGTATAGTACAAATTATATATTACATTGCACATGTATATATTTACTTATTTGCAACTTATATAAATATAAACCTACTTATATAAATAGGTTACAAATATATTACTTGTACTGATTAAATATATTAAATATAGGAAATTAATATGTAATATAATTATGTATAATATTGATTGATATAGTATATAGTGCATTAATCTATCATATATTAACATATGAGATTTATATGTATTTTTTTATATTTGTGGTGTATTTATTTATGTAAACACTATAACATTTATATATAAATTTTCCATGTATATACTACATATATACATATTTATATATAAAATATTGTATACTTTAAACAATATGTTTTATATATACGTATTTGTAATGATATTTCATAGATATACAGTATTTTATATGGTTACACATATAACTACATAAAACATTTTATATAATTATATATAACATACAATATATAATATATATTTATATATAATATATAATACTTTAAATAACTATATAAAATATTTATACAGAAATATTTCAATGCACTTTATGTTATATGCTACATGCATTATATAAAAATATTGTGTAATATTTCATGCTATATAAAATGCAAAAATTGAAAATCCATGTTATAAATAATATAAAATATAAATATATAAATATAAATAATATAAACTGTGTGTATATATACATATATAGAATAAATACCAGGGGGCAGGGTGTAAAATATTAACAGTAGTCATCTCCAAGAATGATTTCTATTTTATTTTCTATATTTTCCTATATTTACTAAATGCTCTACAAGCCTGTTTTGCATTTATATTTGGAAAAATAAAAGGGTTTTTTTGTGTGTGTGTGTTTTTTAATAAATTTACTTATTTTATTTATTTATTTTTGGCTGCGTTGGGTCTTCGTTGCTGTGCGCGGCCTTTCGCTAGTTGTGGCGAGCGGGGGCTTCTATTCCTTGCGTTGCGCGGGCTTCTCATTGCGGTGGCTTCTCTTGTTGCAGAGCACGGGCTCTAGGCGCACGGGCTTCAGTAGTTGGGCTCGCAGGCTCTACAGCGCGGGCTCAGTAGTTGTGGCTCACGGGCTTACTTGCCCCGCGGCATGTGGGATCTTCCCGAACCAGGGATCGAACCTGTGTCCCCTGCATTGGCAGGCGGATTCTTAACCACTGCGCCACCAGGGAAGCCCTGTGTGTTTGTTTTTAACACCAACAGTTCCTGACCTCCTATAATACGTCCCCATCTGTTAACTATGGCCTTCAGAAACCCCAGATTTTGTGACAATCTGGCCCCTGCAGACCTATCCCATCTCCTCTCCTCCCTCTGTCCTTCTAGCTCACTGTACTCAGCCACTCTGTCTCCTCCTTCTATCTTGGAAGCCCCTAAGCTCATCCTGCCTCAGGGCCTTTGCACTTATTCTTCTCTCTGTCTAGAATGCCCCTCCCTTGAGCTTTATCATGTCCTGGTCCCTCCCTTCATTTGGGTCTCTGCTCTGATGTTACCTACACCAAGAAGTTTTCCCTGACCTAAAACAGCCCTCCTCCAACTCTTTCACTCTGTCCCCTAACATTACTTCACATTTCTTCATAGCACTTACCACTGGCCTGGAACTACACATATTTTCATTTACTTAAGTATCCTTTGTTCTCCTCCCCTAGAATGAAAGCTCCAGGAGCGTAAGAACTTTAACTTTGTATCTCCAACACCAAGAACAGTACCTGGCAGATAGTAAGTTCCTTACAAATGTTTTCATATATTGTACAAGCTAATTTATTTTCTGGTTAAGTTTCTTCCTTTTTGTGTAATTTTATTATTTTTAATAGAAGTGATTTATTAAATGTAAAACTAAATTTTTATTGCTTCATACAGCTTTGTATACAAATAGTTATAATTCAGAGTAAAATATTATCAGAGATTATCAGACATGGGTTGTGATATTTGCTTCAAGAACAAAACAAAATAGTCCCCACTCTGCCTCAGTTTCCCAATTGAGAAAATGGGCTTTCTAAGAATCCAAAAAATACCTAGACACCTGACACCATCAATAACTCAGTACCTGTAGACTGAAAACCTAAAACTGGCAAGGGGTTCATTTTTAAATGCCCCTTTGCACGATTCTTTCATGTGAGTTCTGCCTTTTTAAATTTTTATCTTTTTAAAAAGTGTAATGGTGGGACACCCCTGGTGGCACAGTGGTTAAGAACCCGCCTGCCAATGCAGGGGACACGGGTTCGAGCCCTGGTCCGGGAAGATCCCACATGCCGCGGAGCAACTAAGCCCGTGCACTACAACTACTGAGCCTGCACTCTACAGCCCGTGAGCCACAGCTACTGAGCCCGCGCGCCACAACTACTGAAGCCCGTGCGCCTAGAGCCCGCACTCTGCAACAAGAGAAGCCACCGCAATGAGAAGCCCGGGCACCGCAACTAAGAGGAGCCGCTGCTCACCGCAACTAGAGAAAACCCACATGCAGCAACGAAGACCCAACGCAGCCAAAAATAAATAAATGAATAAAATTTATTTTTTTTAAAAGTGTAATGGTATTTAAAGTTGACAAATCTGTAAATAAGAATAGAAGCGTATTATTTACGGATATGGAGGTTACCACCATCTGAAACAAATGAGAAACTGTGCATAGTGATTGCCCTGAAGGAACGGTGTAAGAAGATGCTCCCCACTTGACTACCGCCCATGAAATCCTGGGTCTCACTCAGTAACCGCCATCACAAGACGCCATCCTCCATCAAGAACACTCGGAGGCAGAGTGACGGGGAACTTAGTAATGGAGGGACTCAGCAACTCCACGTGAACCCTGATGAATCTTAGTACTAAAAGGAGGGCAGTCTGCCGCACTCCTCAGGCTGTGATGCAAAAGGAAGTACACAGAACCACCTAGACCATGATTCTAATCAAGTCTCAAGGGCTGACAACCAGGGCACAGGAAACAGGGGGAACAGAGAAACAAGTTAAGGATACAACAAGATGCAATCAGAAAAATCCAGCACGTGAGTCTACCACAGAAGCGACCCACTTTATGCAAAAATGCAATGCCAGGCAGAAAGAAGGGGGGAGGGGCGCAGTGAGAGAACCAAAGTCTTCAGAAACACGGCACCTTGCTTGCATCTGGTTTCAAATGAACCAACTTTAAAAAGTAATTTTTGAGACAATTTGGGACATCTAAATATGAAATGGGTATTAAATGATAATAAGTAATTAAGAAAACTAAATTCTATGGGTGAAATAACAATATCTGGGATTTGCTTGAAAATACACAGACAAAAATGGTTTGGGGGTTGCAAAAGAAATAAGAAAAGCATGATGTTGATAACTGATGGGATGGATGAATGGAGATTCCTTATATTCTTTTCTTGACTTTTGTGTATGTTTGAAATCGTCCATAATAAAAAGGACTTTTTTTTTTTTTTTTTGCGGTACGCGGGCCTCTCACTGTTGTGGCCTCTCCCGTTGCGGAGCACAGGCTCCGGACGCACCAGGCTCAGTGGCCATGGCTCACGGGCCCAGCCGCTCCATGGCACGTGGGATCCTCCCGGACCGGGGCACGAACCCGCGTCCCCTGCATCGGCAGGCGGACTCTCAACCACTGCGTCACCAGGGAAGCCCCATAAAAAGGACTTTTTAAGGAAGTGGGCGTCCCTGAGGGCAGGCCAGGGAAAGAGGCCTGGAGTAGTTGCTAGGTGCTGCTACGTTTTCTAAGCCAAGTATGCAGATTACTTGAATTAAACATTTTAATTAAAAAGAAATTAGTCAAAATCAACAGTATTATTAAAAACATTTTTTTGTTGTTGTTAAAAACTAAAATAGAAGCAGTTGAAGTTTTAGGGCAAAAGTTAACCCTTCCCCTTATTTCAACTCTCCAAAGGCAACCCCTGCTAATAGGCTGGATTACATTTTTCTAGAGTTTCTGCTATAAAAGTCCACAGTTACAATCACTTTAGTTATATACAATAACAATGGCAAGCAATCTCCTAAGAGCTATTAAAATAAGCATAGTAGTAATAATAGCTACCACACAGAGGGCTTACTATGTTCTAGTCACTGTTTTACATACGTCACATATTATTTAATCTTCACTAAACCCTATCAGGTAGGTACTATATTAGCCCCAGATAAATAAGAAAATATAAGATACAATTTGTAAATTCATTCATCTATTTAGTGCCAAAGACGGGATCACACTATATATACTGTTTTGAACTTGATTTTTTCTCACTTGCAGATATCTCCCTGTCAGAACATATACGTCTCTCTTGTTTTGCTTTTTCTAAAATAAGAAAGTTTATGTCAGCTTTATTCAGAATTGCCAAAACCGGGAAACAACCCAGATGTCTAGCAACTGGTCAATGGATAAACAAATGGTCGGACATCCATACAACGGAGTATTCCCCAGCAGCACGAGGAATCAACCACTGATACATACAACATGGATGAATCTCAAAGGCAGCACGCTAAGTGGAAGGAGCCCGAAACGAACAGGCACACGCTCTATGATTCCACTTACACGACGCTCCAGAAGAGATGGAACGACACAGACAGAAACTAGATCAGGAGTTGCCAAGGCCTGGAAGGGGGGAAAGGGGATTGACTATAAAGGGACGTGAGGGAATTTTCTGTAATGAAATAAATATTCCATATCTTGATTGTGGTGGTGGTCTCCCGACCATCTACGTTTGTCAAAACTCATACCATTTTTGTATACCTCAAAAGTGTGAATTACACCTTGACAGAAATAAGTGCATACGTCCACACTGAGATCCCCACACAAAGGTACCAGCAGCTTTATATGTACTGGTCAAACGCTGGAAACACCCTACACGTCGTCAACAGGTGAATGGACAAATGGGGGCACATCCACCCACTAGAGCATCATTTGGCATCTAAAGAAATGAACTCCAACACACAAACAGAGCATGGGTGCATCTCACAAAAACTATGCTGAGTGGGAAAGGCCAGACAACAAAAGAGCACAGACACTCTCTACGGTTTCCTTTACAGGAAACTCCAGAAAAGAGAAACTTTTGTACAGTTGTACAGTGACAGAAAGCAGACCAATGGCTGCGGGGGACGGCAGGGTGGGGAGGGGTGAGAGGAGGGTGACAAATGAGAAGAGGTAACTTCTGGGGTAGTGGGCATGCTCATTATCTTGATTTGGTGACGATTTCACAGATAAACACAAATGTCAACATTTATCATATTATACACTTTATCCTCATTATAAGTATTTACAAACATACTCATAAAGCTTTTTTTATAAATAACTTCATGGTGTTCCATGGTGTGTATGATCATATCGTCATTTTTTTAACCGCCTCCCAATTGATAGATATTTCACTTGTTAGCAATGCTTCACTACCATAACTAGTGCTACAACGAACATCCTCGTCCCTCTGTCTTTCTTACTTGTATGCGTTTCCCTAGTGTACAAGTGAAATTGCTGCATCAGAGGGTACACACATTTTAAATTTTGATGGAAACCACCCAATGACCTCCAGAGACACTGCAGCCATGAACACTCCCGAGTGTGGAGGAGAGGCCGGCTCCTCCCACCCTGGACCCACTTGGCCACAGCTTTCATCTCTGACTTGAATTTTAATTTTTTGCACAATGAATTATAAGTACCACAACAAGGGATGATGGGAGACCCTATTTGGGTCCAGAAGAAGAGAAAGAAACTAGATTAAAAAAAAATTATTTCCTCCATGTTTTTAGAAACCATTTACCAAAAAGGCCTTCTGGAAAGTTTCACCTAAGTGTCTCCAAAGGCTCCTTCCCCTGTGACATTCAATCCCTGGGTGAATGTGCTGGGTAATACATCTGAAGAAAACTGTCGGAATATGAGAAATTGTCCCAAACTGCCCCGAACCACATCTGAGCTGACCAAACCGACCTCTCTGCAGTACCAGGGGCCTGGTGCCCAAAAGGGGCAGAGCTCTGGGAATTCAGCAAAGGGACAGGTCGTGACTGTCCGCGTATAGGGGAGGTCTTCAGCTTCCCACCCCAGGGTGAAGGGGATGCCTTTGGAGCCTAGTCACAAAAAAGCCAGCTGCTCCAATGGCCTCCACATCAAGTCAGAAAAGTGCTCCCCTCTCAAATTAGTGAAGAGGATTAGGGCTTGCACAGGGGTCAGAGCTCTGCAGAAGACATGGGTTCAAATCCCAGCTCCACCATCTCGCTGGGGGTCATAAGATACGTCTCTTCACCTTGGCCTTAGTTTTCTCATATGTAAAATGGGGATGGTAATAATAACGATGATGAATCCGTATGGTTGGACTGTCATGAGAATTAAACAGTTAGGAGAGCACTGGGGTTAAGAACTCAGGATCTGGGCTTCCCTGGTGGCGCAGTGGTTGAGAGTCCACCTGCCGATGCAGGGGACACGGGTTCGTGCCCCGGTCCGGGAGGATCCCACATGCCGCGGAGCGGCTGGGCCCGTGAGCCATGGCCGCTGAGCCTGCGCGTCCGGAGCCTGTGCTCCGCAATGGGAGAGGCCACAGCAGTGAGAGGCCTGCGTACCGCAAAAAAAACCCAAAAGAACAAAAAAAAGAACTCAGGATCTGCAGTCCAGCAGATGTGACTCAGAATCTCGACTCTGATACTTAGTAAAGCTGAGATCTCAAGCAAACCTCAGAGCCTGCTCACCTCATCTGTAGGTGAACATAACGGCTTGATCAATCCCACGGGGATTCAGAGGGCCTAGAAGGTAACATATGTAAAGTGCCAAACACACAGTTGGACGTGTTGTTATATTTTTGAAATGACACTATACACACGCACACATATATTTGAATGACAGTTCTTATAAACCTACAAAATGGAAATTATTGTTTTTATTATCGAAACCTAAAAGGGCTGAAATTAACTTTCACCAATTTAAAGACAAACCCTAGGACTTCCCTGGAGGTCCAGCGGTTAAGACTCTGGGCTTCTGCGGTAGGGGGCATGGGTTCCATCCCTGGTTGGGGAACTAGGATCCCACATGCTGCATGACGCGGCCAAAAAATTTAAAAAATAAAAAAATAAAGACAAACTCTATATGATTGCCTGACATGCAGAGAGAAGACATGGATTTCCCCTAAACATTCTAAACTTTCTTATCATGAAAAAGTAATTGTTGCCTGGATGGTGCAGGGGGAAGGTTACAGCTACTTTGCACAAGTACAAATCAAACCCTGGACTGAGGCCTCGTTAGCATCTGTAAAATGGGTACAGTGGAGGTCCCTGCCCTCCCCACCCCTAGACCCCTCATAGCTGTGAGAAAGAAGTGACTGGTTCCCTTACCAAGTAAACCGGGCTCCGGTTGTTGTCCATCGCAGGGATGCCAGTGAGGACCTCAGCTAACACCTGTGAGAACAGGGAGTTAGCACGGTTCACACACACATGCACAAGTTCACCCAGGAGCTTCTGGCCAAGAAAGAAGTTCCTTCTCAGGAACAAATTCTGAGCTCCAGGCCTGGCTCTGCCATCTGCCAGCACAGACACTTGCCCAAAATCTGGAACGTGGGATTATCACCAAACACCTCCTCCAGCTAAACACACCACCCAGCTACTAGGAGAAGGTTTAAGTTAATTGATAGCAAGGTAGGGAGGATGAAAACCAAATGTCTGTGTATTACCATCAGATAGATAGACAAGATACACACACACACCTCTCTCTATATATATATATACATATATACATCTATCTGTATACACACATACATATACATACACACACTATATATACTAAAGATATTTTTATTTAAAACCCATCAGGAACGGTAAGCAGGCACTGCTATGTTAATCTCAAGAAAAGGAGGAATCCATGTGCAGACACCTATTCTAGACAGAAAATCTCGGCAGTATCTACAGCACGTTTCATCCACAGGCCTTTATTTACATTATTTGTTCATTAATACATCCATTTAAGAAAGGAGCACAGCCCTGAGCCAGTGTAAGCCACCACAAAATTGACAAACTGTGATCTGTATCTTAATAAATGGGAAACCTGCTTTGAACAGAAATTCAGCAGAGATAACAGCACACTGGCTAAGGGGTCCATAGTCAGACAGACCTGGGTTCAAATTCTGACTCTGTTCCTTACATGCTTTGGTGATCTTTGGGCAAGAAACTAAAATCTGGGGACTTCCCTGGCGGTCCAGTGGTTTAGACTCAGCGCTTCCACTGCAGGGGGGTGCGGGTTCAATCCTTGGTCAGGGAACTAAGATCCCACACGCCGCATCTGAGCCTGTATCCTTATGTGGTACGTGGTGATCTAGTGGTTGTAAATATGAGGCAGTGGGTACTCCATCTTAGTGTCAAATCTCCCTCCCACAACTTCTCTCAAAGTCAGAATAAGGTCACATCACTGCCAAGAACTCCTCCACTCAGAAAGGGCCTGCAGGGTTACTAACAGACTGGCACTGGCCAGGAGGGGGCAGCAGAGGGCATCCCTGCAGCTGGCGGAGGAGCCCATGGAAAAGGGACTCCAGCTGGGGTCCTGCCAAGGCAGGAGGGAAGAATAAGAGGAAATAAATAGACAGACATTTCCTCTGCCTCTTCCACACGGCAGGCCCTGTGCCAGGCCTTTTACAGAGGTTACTTAGAGCTCATCAAAAAGAACACTGACCTACTACGGTATAGCACGGAGAACTATATTCAATATTCTGGGATAAACCACAATAGAAAAGAATATAAAAAAGAATGTATATATGTGTATAACTGAGTCACTCTGCTGTACAGCAGAAATGACCATAACGCTGTAAATCAACTATATGTCAATAAAAAAATAAATTAAGAAAAAAACACACAGAGAAATGCAGTGTTCCCCACAACAAGAACCAAAGTTCAAAATCGTACCATCCATCAGTGGCAGGGCTGAGAAAAAGACTGAAGGGAGCCAGTAGGCACTCACTGAATGAATGAATGAGTGAATAGGAAAGTCAATTGTTGCATCAGGAGCTGAGTTAAAAAGTCAAGAGTAAACAGAATCAAGAGTGAGGGTGTGAAGGTAGGAAGAATAACGGTAACCACAATAATAATAATCATGTTGACCTATGCAACATACTCTGCTAACCAGTTTATATATGTTATCTTATTAATCTCCATATGTATGAATACCCCCATTTTCCAGAGGACAAAACTGAGGCCCAGAGTTATAGGTGACACCCTAGGTCACACAGCTGAAAGTAACTGAGCTGGGACTCAAACCCATGCTCTTAAGCTCTACCTTATAAGTGCCTGGCAGCCTTGGGGTTCAGTTCCACTGGTTCTTAAAGGAGCAGGAGCTTGGGCTGGCCCTGCTGAGCTTCACTGAGCCCCTCGCAGTGGGCTGATGGGGGCGAGGAGGGGGAGGCGGGAGGGAATTGGGGGACAAGTAAACCAGAAGGGCCGATGGGCTGGGAGACAGAGGGAAGCAGAATCTGGTATGTGGAGGCTGGGCTGAGGGCAGAAAGTGGCTCAGAGGAAGGGCATTAGTGGGAGAGGTAGATGGACAGACTGTGGTCAAAGAGAGGAAGTATAGAGTTTAAGGCTGGAGAGGAAGAGAGAAGGCAAGGTCCAAGGTGCAGCTGTTGGCTCCTGGCAGAGGTCAGCCAGCGACTGTCACTTTTCTCAGCCAGCATGTCCCAGACCGGGATCCACAGGTGTCTGATGCTTAGAGATACTAAGAAAACAAGGTTCCATAGTCAAGGGAATTTGGGAAACATTTTGGGAAGAGGTTGCCATGGAGACCCCTTCAGAAAACAGCCTAGTAGTGAGCAGTGCCAGCAAGTTAGGGTCACTGAAGACCCTCAACAAGTTTATAAGCCAGTCCTGACGGGGGGTGGAGATTGGGAGCCCACCTCCATACCACTGCTGGGTGGTGGTGAATTCACAATTACCAGATTAAAGGCTATGTACCATATGAAAGGCTCTTGTTAATTTTGTGGTAACTTTTTTTTTTCCTGCTTAACCTTGCTCAACCCAGCATTTCTTAAACCTACTTAAACACATCAAAACCCTTTAAACACATCAAACCTATTGAGATCTCAGGGAATTGGTATTCTTTGGAGACTGCTACACTCAGACCATGAACTCCTGGGGGAGGGATTGTGTTATAGTTACATTTACATTCCAAGTGCATGACACACAGTACTGAAGGACAGCAGTGGTGACAAGGACAGAGGTTGGATGGGTAGATAGATACTGAATGGATGGGTGGCTGTTGCCGATGAATGGTTGGATAACAACTGGACTGATGGATGGATGGACAGATGGACAAAACAGATGGATGAACAAACAAGAACAAACAGACAACTGGATAGATAATTAGATGGCTGGCTGGATGCGAATCAGGGAAGTCAGGAGGTACCTTTAGCCTATTGGAATCTGGACACTCATGGGGCAGGGGGCCTTTACTTCAAGGGTTGGCAAACTTTTTCTGTAACAGGCTAGATCGTAAATATTTTAGGTTTTGTGAGCCACAAACAATCTCTGTCACATATTCTTTTATTATGATTGTTGTTGTTGCTATTATTATTCAATCTTTTATAAATGTAAAAACTAGTCTTAATTATAGGCCATAGAAAATAGGCCATTGGACTGGTTCTGACCTGTGTGCCATAGTTTGCCAACCCCTGCTGTACTTGGTGGAACATTTCTAAGAGCCTCTACTATGTGCTTACAAAGGAGCCATGGGAAGGACAAATGTGTACAGGCCCAGATCTGAGCAGAGAAGGAAGCTCTTACTATTCCACAGCCGAATATGTCCACTCGCTTTGTCAGCTGCCCCACCCTGATGAAATCTTCTGGAAGATATGCAGTGGAGGCCTGGAAAAGGCGGGTCTTCATCGTGGTGTATTTTGACTTTTTGTTGACAGGACACCAGTGAGCCATCGAATGAGCCAGCTTGGGGGTGAAGTTTTGGTCTAGCAAGACATTGGAGCTGTGGGAAAGAAGGCAGAGAGAACCCTCTTGTTTTGAGGTAGACAAGAAGAGGTTGCCATGGAAACTCTTTTGGAAAACAGCTTAGTAGTGAGCAGTGAAGGCAAGTTAGGGTCACTGAAGACCCTCAACAAGTTTATAAGCCAGTCCTGACGGGGGGTGGGGATTGGGAGCCCACCTCCACCAGCAAATGGGGATGGAGCTAAGATTAGTCCTGCTGTCCCAGAAATGGCATTTGGTGGCCAGACAGGTGCAGCCATCCATGGATGTCAGCCCGGATCAACCTCAGCCTGCCAAGCCCAGAGGCTGTGCCGCCTCCATCTCTTCAGAAGCTGCTCCAACCCCCAGCTCTGGCCCAGCTGACTCACATCTAAATGCCAGCATCCTTTGGGACTGAACCTGCCCAGATCACGGGGAATAAGAAGAGCGATAAAAATATTCTTGGAGGGCTTCCCTGGTGGCGCAGCGGTTGAGAGTCCGCCTGCCGATGCAGGGGACGCGGGTTCGTGCCCCGGTCCGGGAAGATCCCACATGCCGCGGAGCGGCTGGGCCCGTGAGCCATGGCCGCTGAGCCTGCGCGTCCGGAGCCTGTGAGGAGGGGCCCGCGTACAGAGAAAAAAAAAAAAAAAATTCTTGGACCGTGGGAATGAACACTCTCAGAAAGTACTCCAGAGGAAAAATTAAAAATTTTTAAAAACTAAGCTTCAAGTATAGAAATATTCAAACTAACCCCAAATGGTTTTCAAAAAGTAGACACAGAGAGCAGTTCTCCTAGGTTCCCTCACCCTGCTGCTCTCCACTCAAGCGCCCCCTTTCAATAAAGCCTTTGGTTTTGTCATAAAAAGTAGACGCAATTCCAATATCCACTATTAGGAGTTTTTATGTAAATTATGGGCAAATACCTTCAATGGAAGACTAAGAAGTCATGAAAAATGATGACAGGCAATGTGGGGAAATGTTTACCATGTTTAACTCATGGGGAAAAAGAGAATATGAATTGGTAAACAGGTAACGGTGCTATCTTAGGGCTGAGATGTCTGCGTGGGCAGGGGTGGGAAAAAACCCAGAAAAATGGCGGCCAGCTGGTGAGTGAGGGCAGCAGGGCCAGGATGACCACTTGCCCTTTCATTTCCTTTCTTGCTATTACAATTGTTTGTGCAATCAAATAAAAATCAGGGGGGAGAAAAGAGGAAAGGGCTTCCCTTTGCCAAATGGGGAGAGAACTCTGAGGAAGTATGAATTCTATGGTTTCGAGTTCAGTTTTGCCAGATCTTCTGGTATCTTCTGGAATCCCTCTCCGTGCTTCCAGTCTTGGGAGCACGTTACTGATATGCTGGGGTACACACCTAACTTGCATCACAGTATCTGTGACAACAGATGCACAAGCAAGAACGGGTCTCCAGGACTTCCCCGGTGGCGCAGTGGTTAAGAATCCTCCTGCCAATGCAGGGGACATGGGTTCGAGCGCTGGTCCGGGAAGATCCCACATGCCGCGGAGCAACTAAGCCCGTGAGCCACAACTACCGAGCCTGCGCTCTAGAGCCTGCGAGCGACAACTACTGAGCCCAGGAGCCACAACTGCTGAGCCTGCATGCCACAACTACTGAGCCCGTTCCACAACTACTGAAGCCCTCGCTCCTAGAGCCCATGCTCCGCAACAAGAGAAGCCACCACAACGAGAAGCCCGCGCACCACAACGAAGAGTAGCCCCCGCTCGCCGCAACTAGAGGAAGCCTGCGTGCAGCAACGAAGACCCAACGCAGCCAAAAATTATAATTAATTAAAAAAAAAAAAAAGAACGGGTCTCCGCAAAGACCCTGAACAAGGAGCTCCAAAGCCCAGGGAGCCTGGCAGACATGGCCCACAGCTTAAGGACCTGATCCAGACCAGCTGCTGGAGGGGAAGTGAAATACAGCAGGTGAGTGGAGGGCTTGTTGGGGAAATACCGACAAGCTTTTGGGGGAAATACTTTCGTTAGGGAAAGACAAACGTGGAGACAGGCAGTTCACGCTGACAGCAATCAGGGACAGAGTACAACCCAGAAACACTGATGTTCGAGGGTATAACAAAGAAAGAAGAGCCCCAAGGGAGGCAAGGAAGGGAGAGAAAGTGAAAGAGAAGAGAGACAGAGGGAGAGGAATGGGACCCAGGAGTGTGCAACAGCTCGTCCCTGTAGCCCAGCCCTGGGTGGGGCCCAGCCCACCGCTCTCACCTCTTGACGTTGCCATGGATGATCTCCAGGCCATGCAGATGCTCCACGGCATGAAGCAGCCCCGAGCAGATGATGGCACGCTGGGGCCAGGGGAGCGGGTCCGAGCCACCCTAAGAGAAAGAAGAGGAGGAGAAAACAGTCACACATATGCCTTTGTAAAGTCCCAGTGGCAGGGTCCTGGGCTCCTGTCTCTCCTCCCGCCCTCATGTCCTCTGCAACAGGGCTCGGCCAGCATGGTTTACTGGCAGGGTACCGGTTTGGACATCAGACACATCTAGGTATAAATCCCAGCTCAGACATGCACTAGCTGTGTGACTTCGGAAAAGACACTCAACGTCTCTGAGCCTCTGCTTCATCAGATATAAAATAGAAATGTTAATCCCTATGCTTTAGGGTTGTTGTAAGGATTCAAAGGAGTGAATGATGCCCCTAGCATAGTGCCTGTTACACAGTGGGTGCTCAAAAAACAGAAGTTATTTTTATCATGACTATCATGTGGCAGCTCTGGAATTCTTCTCTAGGAGGGGCTGGTTGGGAGAGGAGCTAGGGAGCTTGTGTTGGCACACCAAGCACATGGGCTGATTTTATAAGTATTTGGGGAGATCTCACAGGAGCTGATGGGGATTATCGGTGGTCTAAAGCCCCCTACCTTCCCCTACCTGCCACTGAATGTCCAAGCAAAATCACCTCTTATTTTTTAGGTCGTCTCTTAGGTCCCACATCCTCTAAGAACTGGCCTCGCTAATGGATTTCTTCTAAAAAACTCTGGAATCTGGAGCCACACAAACCCAGTTTAAACTCTAGCCCTGATATGTGTCAGCTGTGTTCCTTTGGGTAAGTCATTTTGCCTCTCTGTGCCAGAGACTCCTCTTTTTGAAAATGGGGGAAACCTCCAGGGCTGTGGCAAGGTCCGAAGGAGATGTGTAAAGCCATTACCAAGGTGTCTTGCACACAGTGAGAGTTCAGCAAAGCTACCAATCATTATTATACCATGAATAACTGCTTCGTCTGGTCCCTGACAAGGGAAGCAATAATTCTGTTGCAGAATGACTTTTTACCCTCTGTTTGAGGATTTTATGGGAAGGAGGCTTGTCTTAAAAATGGTAATTTTAATAGATACAGCACTCACATAGTATGACCTGCAAAAGGTCAAAAGGGTGTGGAGTAAAAGTTTCTCTTCCAACCTATGCTCCATCTACATAGTTCTCCCCAGAGGCGGTCAAGGCACCAGTTTCTTGTAACTTTTCTGAAATATTCCATAAATTCACGAGCAAATAGGAATTAACTAGAATAGCATTTTTTAATAAAACTTTGCCTCCAATTTCCATACTCAGTTAATTCTTCTTCTTGTCCTATTGCATTGGCTAGCAACTTCAGAACAATGTTGAATAATATAGCACGATGGGGTACCTTTGTCTTGCTCTTGACTTAAATGCCTCTTGTCAAAAAACATTTTAAATAGGTTTTTACCTGAAGATGTTTAGCCAGATCTTATCTATCTTGGCCCACCTCCTCTTCTCGAAGGGTCTCTCGAAGGCCCCCTTCCCCTCTGGACTCCTAAAAGTCCTTAACCCTGATTCTCCAACTGGGTGCTGCCTAATCCTGTTCTTTGACCATGACCGAGCCCCTTACCTGACCCTGGAGTCTGTCCTGTAAAGAACCATTTGCCATGTACGGGTAGATCAAGCTGTAAAACTGTTCTCCAGTGCAGAGACCCAGCAGAGGTAAGACATTGGGGTGGCAGCATCTGAAATCAGACATCAGTACAGGGATGAGGAGTCAGACGGAAAGAATAATCAAAGACCGCTCCATTTCCTACCTCCTAAACCTCTTCTGCCCTCTCCACCCCTGGAGGCCACCAGTAACCTCCCAGGTACTAAATGCTCTAAACCCTGAGAGCCCAGCAACAGGGTAGAGATGACAACGGCATGCCCTCAAGGAGCTTAAAATCAAGTAACTCAAAGTACATGACACCCTAACCACGCGTCTTCCAGAAACAGAGGCTTAGAGGTTAAGGAACTTGCCCAAGGTCACAACTAGCAAACACTGAAGCCAGGACCAGATAGCAGGTCTGTTTGACTCCCAGGACTAGGGTTCTTCCCCGAAATCCTCTTCTGCTGGGTTCCGAGTCACTGTTCCCCCTTGACCCTCTTCCCACCTCTCTGACTGCTCTTTCTTGGCCTTTTCTACTAAGACCCTCCTCATTTGCCTTCCCCGGAAACTTGAATCTCCCCGGCTGGGCTCATCATCTTGTTTCATAAGCTTCTCCACCAGGAATCTCTCACCTCTATGAGGAACACCCCGAAATCTCTCATCTCCAGGCACATCCCACACACCAGAACTGACTGTCAAATTGCATCCCAATGTTCCAGGTGAACAACCTAGACTCAACAAGTTCCAAACCTGCTTCTCTGCCCACAGTTATTTTCTCAACCAAGGGCGCCACCGTCCATCCAGTTTCCTAGAAACCTCCTTACCTCCGCCATCTAATTAGTCACTGTTCACTGTCATACATAGCTTTCAATACACCCCCTTCATTCTCCCCTCCTCTGCCTTGGGTCCGACCCCAATGAACCCTCCCCAGCACTGTTGCAACGGCCTCCTGCCTGATCCCTCGGCCCCCCTCCACTCCCCCCAGGCCATCCTACTGCACAATTTTCACACTCAGTAGAGTTATTTACACTTCACTCTCCCCACTGGCTGTGTGTTCTTCATGTCTGCACTCCCTAGAACAAAGAAAGGCCCTGACTGACGACTCACATTTGCCAAATGAATGAATGAAGGAGTGACTACCGACTCCAGGAAGGCACTACGCCAAGGTGGAAAGGGAATCAGATTTCCCGTTTCCATTAAGTGTGTCTGTGTGTGGATAAGTGTGTGTGTATATATGTGTGCGTGCGCACGCGTGCGTGTGTGTGTAGTCATGCATATGTATGAAGAGAGAAAGGATTAAAGAAAATATATCGAAATCTGAATACCGTAGTAGTTACTTATAGGTGCTATGGAAAATTGGTGATTTCTATTTTCCTCTTTATAATTTTCTTTATTTCTTAAAATACTCCACAATCATCACGCACCGCCCGAGGCTACACACTGGCAGAGGAACTCAGACAGTGACTTGCCAGGTTGAATGACAGCTGGTATCCAGCACACTGCAGGGGTCCAGTATGTGCGTGTTCAATCCATCAGGCACTGACGGCAGAGCCAAGATAAGTGTCCAGGTATCCAAATGTCCTCCCCCTCTCTTTCCCAGTCACCCCCACCAAGCTCTGTGACGGGGAGGCTCACTTTACTTCAACCAACCACATTCCAGCTCTGCCACTTACTAGCTGTGCGATCTTGGACAAGACACTTACCGTCTCTGTGCCTCAATTTGCCCATGTGTAAAATAACGTGAAAACAGTAGCCATGTTACAGGGGTCTTGTGACGATTAAATGAGCTTACCTAAAGAGAATGCTTAAAACGTGCCTGCCACAGAGGAAGCACTATATACAGGTTAGTGGCCATCACTATCAAGCAAAGTGTTTTCCAAAGGGGAGGCTTACCTACGACAAATTTGTACCTCTGCCTGGAAGAATTTTTCAATTGATCCTGGACCTGAACAGGGCACCTGTGGGAAAAGACACTGAAACATGAAAATCTACCCTCAGCATGTAGTCTCCACCCCTTACTGGAAACCTATAAGTGCCCACCTCTCTGAGCTTCTTGAAGATGAATGGAGTGCCGAGCCTTTGCCCTCTGTAGATAACAGCAAAGGTCCCCTCACTGATTTTGTGGTTTGGGTTGAAGTTATCAGTTGCCTGGACCACGTCCACCTCGCTCCAGAAAAGGCTGTCATCAGCCAGGCTCAAAAGTGTCTCCTGCTTAGGAATGGAGGTGCTGAAATCCTGGGAATTCAGAGAGAAGAGACTGAGATTAATATGGAATTAACATGGAAAATACTATTTTCCCTACTACCTCAGGGACTCTTAGAACAGCAGAGCTGAGGGGTGAAGGGGATCATCTCATCCAGTGAGGAGGGATGGCAAAAAGGACAGATCCCAGCTCTGCTTCTAACTTGCTCCGTGACCTTGGACAAGTTGCTTAACCTCTCTGAGCCTTCATTTCCTCATCAGCAAAAATAAAGATAACCATAATACCCTGGAGGGTAATTTTGAAGATTAACTAAAATGTGAGTATTCCCGGCCCACGGTGGAGGTTTCCTTTTTTTTTTTTTTTTTCCCAGTTTACAAAGGTGAGCACCAAGGGGGTCAAAGAACTGAAGTGAGTTTACACGGCGGGTCAATGGCTGGGCTTGTGTCCCCGGTCCTGCACACGGTATACATGCCGGGAAGCAGGACACAGGTTCACATAACCTGTGTAAGCCTAAGAAAAGCAGCTCTGCATCAATCCCTTTTCTTCTTAAAAATAGGTGTACATAAACTTCCATTTTTTTTAAGTTATATGTGCTCTTATAAACAGTTTTAGATAATTAGAGGGGAGCTAATTATACATGATCTCATTATCCACTTAACTGCTATTAAAGTTTAGTGTAATTCTTGCCAGTTAGATACACGAGAATTTATTTTTAAAAATTGGGACCATGCCGCACCCACCGTTTTGATTTCCAGTGTTTTCTCTAAATGTTATACCATGAACATTCTTCCAATTACTAAATCATCTTTGAAAATGATTAATTATTAAAAAATAAATAAGCCTGCTTAAGTGACAGTCCCTTTTATGCAAGAGCTCCACTAACCAGACCCATGTAGCACTGGCTTCCCCGCCAGGCACTCTGCCCAGGACACCTTTAGGGGCCCACGAAAACATCTTAACGTAATTTCTTTCGAAGTCTGATGAACAAAAATGAACTTTTCAAGTTGAAGAAAATGTTTTAATTTTTAATCCAACTTGGATTATGTTCATCTTTATACCGTTGCAGTCATAAAGTATAATTTTAAGTAATATTTTTAAATGAAAGAAAGGGCCTAGAAAGGCAAAAATGCCTAAGATTCACAGAAGTCACTTGTGACCCTGGACCCAAATCATTAAAAATTCAGGATAACTCCAATATATTTTGTGTTGAAAAAAGGTTGAAGGGGAGGCATTTTGACTACTGCAACCAAGAAATTTTGGGAGGAGGAAGATGCCAATTATCAGCTCCCATTTAAATACAAATAACGGAAAAGCTCATTAAAAACTAGAGTGCACCCTCTCCCCGCCCCTGATTTACTGAGGGCCAGCACTGAGAGTCTTAGAAGCTCAGAGCAATTCAATGGGCCTCGTTTCTCCCCTTCACCCTGACCCCTAACCCCCAAACTGTTCCCGAGGAATAAACACGTTGCATTTCTGAGAGAGGGTCACAGCTGGGGGCTACTGCTGGGGGGCAGAGGATTTACCTTTGAATCGGATGAGGCTGGCAGGTCGGTGTTTACGGAAGGAGGGGCATCTTCAGCAGGGCCCCAGGGGCTGGCTCTGGCTGGAGCAGGCCCTGGAAAGGAGGGACAGTGGGTCAGGCCACAGCCACTGGAGGAACGAGGGACGGGTCCCTGCCTGGTCCCCAGACCCAGTCAGTCTCTCATTCACTCCACAAACATTTTACTGTCAGTGATGACAGCTGCCATTTCCTGACACCACAGGCGCCAGCCTGCCCGCTGCTCGAGCGTTACCCCGTGGAAGCCTTATGACAGCCCTGTGGGTTGGTCCTATACAAAGTCCCCGTGTGACAGGTAGAGAAAGGGAAGCACTGGAGGTGGCTACTTGCCCAGGGCCACGCTGACAGTAAGTGGCAGAGTCGGCCTTTAAATGGAGATCCTTGGGCCTTCTAACCCCTACACTGTCCCACCTCCCACAAAAGCAGCAGAGAAGGACACAGGTACATTAGCTACAGAGCCTGCCCTCCAGAAACCTCCACAGCAGCAGGAATGGCAATAACCAGCCTCCCAGGGCAGAGGCAGGAGAAGCCTGCCTTAGTGGGTTGGGAGATCAAGGAGGGCTTCACAGAGGAAGGAACACTTGACCTGAGCTTCAAAACGGGGAAAACATTTGCAACAAGTAGCTATGACGTAGGGAGGGCACCGAGGCCATGGAACCGGCCCACGAGGAGGTGTGGCAGCAGGAAAGCCCAGGCGAACAGTAAACATTCCGGGCACGCTTAGTTAGCAAACACTGACAGCATTCCCAATGCGTCCCTGAGCTAACTCATTTCACGCTCATAATAGCCCCAGGAGAGAGATGCCAGTATCATCTACTCTTTACAGGTGGTGAAACTAAGGCACGGAGAGGTGACCCAACCTTTCCAAGGGTACCCAGTCAGTGGCTCCAGAGTCTGTGCTCTTAATCCCTTAGTGAATGTAGAAGATTCACAAGAGAGGTGTGGCTTGAAGAGTAGTTCAGGGTCAGGGAAAAGTCAGGTTAAAGTGGGTGACATGTCTTCACCAGGCACCACGTGAAGATTAATCTGAAGGCTAATGGGGCAGCCTGGGGTCTGCAGGTCAGAGCAGGTGCAGGCCGGGAACAAGACAGGCCACGTAGCTGACCCACATGAAAGTGGACCTTGACCAGAAGCCTGAAGCTTCAGATGTCACCGCTGGAAACACCCAAGTGGCCCTACTGCAGGGCTGGCCTCTGAGTAACAGGGGGCCGGCCCTTCCAAGGGAAACTGACTGTGACCCAAGGGTTGCTGGCCAAATCCACCTGTTTCAAGTATTTCTGGCTTACCTCATCAAGAAAGGAGTGATTAATGTGGACCTTTGACCATAGAAAACCTTAACTCAGAATACTGAAAACAGCACCGTGGTGAAGCTAGAATCAGCCTTCCAAAACTACGAACAAGGCAGCTGATACAAAACTCACCTGATGGAAAGCCCGAGGCTCTTTCATCCTCTCAGAGGAGGGGCCCCCCTAAGCCCCTCTCCCTGCATTGTCTGCTGCTTCTAGAGTCTTTTGTTTGTTTGTTTCCTTTTTTTCACATTTTCCAGCATTGGCGATATTTGAAAGGACTACACTTGAGAAGGTACCGTGCTGGTACACCCACACTGCACCAGCAACCCCCAGAATGGGGTACTAACAACAAACACCCCTCCCCAAAATACACAGGTGCGCACACACATTCACACACACCCTCTTTGTCTCTCAGTGCACTACAACTTAAACTGACCTTTGGACTTCCCTGGTGGCGCAGTGGTTAAGAATCCGCCTGTCAATGCAGGGGGACATGGGTTCGATCCCTGATGGGTTCGATCCCTGATCCGGGAAGATCCCATATGCCACGTAGCAACTAAACCCGTGCGCCACAACTACTGAGCCCACATGCCGCAACTACTGAAGCCCGCGTGCCTAGAGCCCAGAGCTCCGCAACAAGAGAAGCCACCGCAATGAGAAGCCCGTGCACCGCAACGAAGAGTAGTCCCCGCTGGCGAAATTAGAGAAAGCCCGCGCACAGCAACGAAGACCCAACGCAGCCAAAAAAATTTTTTAAACATATAAACTGAGCTTCAGGGTAAGAGCTATAGCTCAGACACGGGAATTAAACCTTTGGCAAAAGAAGGAAAAAATAAAACCAGAATAAATGGATAAAGAAGATGTGGCATATTTATACAACATAATATTACTCAGCCATAAAAAAAAAATGACATAATACCATTTGCAGCAACACGAATGGACCTAGAGATTATCATACTAAGTGAAGTAAGCCAGGCAGACAAATAGCATATATCACTTACATGTAGAATCTAAAAAAAGTGATACAAATGAACTTACATACAAAACAGCAATAGACCCACAGACATAGAAAACAAACTTACGGTTACCAAAGGGGAAAGGGTGAGGGGGAGATAAATTAGGAGTTTGGGATTAACAGATACACCCTACTATATATAAAATAGATAACCAACAAGGATCTACTGTAGAGCCCAGGGAACTATACTCAATATTTTGTAATAACCTGTAGGGAAAAGAATCTGAAAAAGAATATCTATATATATAACTGAATCACTTTGCTGTATACCTAAAACCAACACAACATTGTAAATCAACTATACTTCAATTAAAAAAATAAAAAGGTAAAATAAAAAACAAAATAACTACAACCAGCAACGTGCTACAGACCAGCTGGCAGCCCTGTAACCGACCAGAGCCCAGCTGTTCACTTAAATCCATCCGCGCATCCGCATGCACCCAGGCCGTGCTTCCCGAGGCTGCTCCCACCCCGACTCCCCACCCCTGGTGACTGGGTGCGGAGGGGAGACTGCCTTGCAGTAAGGCTCCTGGCCACTGCTGCTCCAGTGGTGGAGGCCTCCGCCCTTGCCCTGCCTTCTCTTGGGCTCAGCTCAATACCCTTGGCCTGAGTCACCCAAACTGTGGTCACAGTCATCCATCTCCTAGGTGTGGGCCGTGTGTCTGTGCTGCTCCACAGTGAGTTACTTGATGTTTTCTTTCAATCCACTCCAGTTCACGTATTACATATTCAGCCTTGAAATCCCTAGTTTTTGTGCATGTGACATATTCTCTGCCTAACACCCGTGCTCCATGTGCCACTGGGGACAGACACTCTACCCTCTGGGAACTGCTGTTCCAGGCCAACTTGACTTCCCTCCTGCCTCTTTCCTGGAGTTCTGCTCTATCTGCTCTCCCCGCCCCAGGACTGACCTCAGAGCACGCTGCACACACGGTCCCTCATCCTCTCCCACTGCCCAGCGAGGCCAAGGTCAGCACTAGCCTCACACAGCCATGATTCTCTGGTCTGATTGATGCCTGGGGTTTGCTCTGGGGGCTGCACCAGGCCTCTCAGTGTGGGGGGATCGCTGAGGTCTGCTCTTGTGACACAGGAGGGCTACTAGGGGTGGTTGAGTCTATTTATCCGGGTGGTTTGCGGAGGGGGAGCGGGGGGAGGGAGTGGAATTGGAACCAATACCCCAAGGCTGAGAAATCAGATAAGAACTAGCCCTTGCTTCCACTCATGGAAGGCCTGGGCCAGGGAAGACAGTGGTCTACACAAATGTCATTTCCAAAACACTAAGAGTTAACCCTTCACGGTGCCATTTCCCACAGAAATCTTTCTAGAACCTTTGCTTTCTCAAGCAGAATGCACCAAATCTTGTCCTGCTGAGTTGCGTCACTGCAGGCAGGAACAAAGAACACGCAATGTTTCTGTATCTCATTCGGGGTTTTCTGGATCCTGCCCTGTGGCTGGCAGTGGGTCGGCCTCTACAGCTTCCCCATCTCTTTCTTGGTAGCAGACAGAACTGAGCTCAAGTCCTGGCTCTGTCATTACTAAAGATTTGACCTTGGGTGGGTTGTGCTTCCTTTCTTTAGCTTTCTCAGATGTAGAAAAAAACCCCCAAAACACAGAAATAGTCCATTCTTTGTAGAGTTCTTGTCCAGATTAAAAGACATGGCATAAAGCACAAAGATCAGTCTCTGGTATATGTGGGGTACCAAGGCTGGTAAAACTATGTGTAGATTAAATCAATTCTGATGGACAGACGATGGCCTCTCCCATAGGTAAGGCTTTGCAACAGTTATTTCAGCCACTCAGAGCCCTTTTATCTGTTTTTGTTTTTGTTTTTGTTTTTGTTTTTGTTTTTGCAGTACGCGGGCCTCTCACTGCTGTGGCCTCTCCCGTTGCGGAGCACAGGCTCCGGACACGCAGGCTCAGCGGCCATGGTTCACGGGCCCAGCCGCTCTGCGGCATGTGGGATCTTCCCAGACCAGGGCACAAACCCGTGTCCCCTGCGTCGGCAGGCGAACTCCCAACCACTGTGCCACCAGGGAAGCCCCAGAGCCCTTTATCTGAAATCTAGCTTTGAGAATCTGTTTAAGGAGGTGCTTAGAACCTGTCCATGGCTCATCTGCTCGTGTATTTTCCTTCTCCATGTCTCTCCCCACTACAGAGGTTAGGATGTGGGCTCTGGAACAATTCACCTGAGCTGAATCCCAGTCCCACCGCTTGCTCAGCCATGGAGCTCTGGCAGGCTATGTCTCCTTCCCCAGCTATCAAGAGCCCCCTCCCTGGGTGGTCAGGCTGATTCAGTGACAGGCGGCACCATTCCTCCCTGTGTGTGCCCTCCTCCCCAGCCACCTCTGCCTCCACGTTCTCCACTCCTACGAGATACTCGGCTGGAACTCTGGGCCCAATGGAACCTTGGGTTTTCCCAAGAAAAGACTGGCTTTGGGTTATCTGATGAAATTAATGATGATGTCCTTATTTTTAGTTTGGGCAAAGATAGACAGTCAACTTCCTGTCTCTGTCTACAGATTCTATTTATTGTCCTGACCTGTCTGGGCACATGTCCTCCCAAGTGCCATTCAAGAAAGCGGAGGGTGCAAAGTCTGGCAGAGACATAATGATGCTTGTTTTCACGGCAGCCTAAATAAGGAACCTCTGAAGAAGCTGCTATACCAGTAACCTCCTCCAGCTCCACCAGCACTCCCCTAGAATTTCCCTATTTTATTATTATCTTTCCCGTTGGCCATCGATCAGTATCATATTAGCTTTAGGACCATTTCCCCCTATCTTTAATTGCTGATCAAAGTTCTGCTCTTTTTTTTTTTTTTTTTAAACTCTTTAGCTACAGGAAATAATTTAGACTCCTTGGTCTAGGATTAACTTTCCAGACTCAACGTATCTGGGGTGCCTGGAATGTTCCTAATATCGGCTAACGTTTAATGAGCACCTACGTGGTGGCAACACCAAGGTGTATGATTCCTAACCACACACGATGATGTAGGCGGTTAGGAATTATTATTCTATTATTATGCGCATTTTACAGATGAAGAAAATGAGGTACAGAGAGGCTAAGTCATTCTCCTGCTGGAAAGGGCAGAGTTGGAATTCAAATATGGGTCCGCCTGATGCAAAAGCCCGTGCACGTGCCTCTCAGCCGACGCTGACCCTGGCTTTGGGAACCACGTCAACGGATTTGGGAGGTTTCATGGATTTGGGGTCTCCAGCTTTCCACTCATGAGGCTGCAGGAGAGCAGAAGGCGGGCGGGGCTCCGGGGGAGAGGTGGGGAGGACGGCATGAGGAGCGGGTACCCCTCGGGAAGTTACCCGCTGGCTGAGTCCTTCCATCATTTGGCAAACTGTCCCCCAGCCCTTCCCTGGGCACAAGGGGATGGAGACAAAGCTGAAGTGGGCTGAGAAGCTGTGGCGTAGGGGTGTGTGCAGCGGTTGAGGATATAAGCGTTCAAATCACATGGCTCAGTTGCCTGTGCTGGAGGCTTGCGGAACCACAGGTAAAATACCTGGGCTCCGGAGCATATGACCTTGGCAGGCTGTTTAACCTCTCTGTGCTTCGTTTTCCTCATCTGTCAAATGGGGAGAAAAACAATACCAAACTCATACAGTTAGTTGAGGGTTAAATAGCTCAACTTCTTGAAGGGCTTAGAACAGTGTCTGACACATAGAAAGCCCCCAGTTACTGAGTTTGTTTTTTTCTTTTTACAAAAATGGGAAACCTCCCTGGCGGTCCAGTGGTTAAGACTCCGCGCTTCCAATGCAGGGGTCACGGGTTCAACCCCTGGTTGGGGAACTAAGATTCCCACCAGCTGTGCAGCACAGCCAAAAAAAAAAAATTAATAATAACAATTAAAATACACCTCGCTGGGAATTCCCTTGTGGTCCAGTGGTTAGGAATCCACATTTCCACAGCAGGGGTCACGGGTTCAATCCCTGGTCGGGTAACTAAGATCCCACATGCCGTGCAGAGCAACCAAAAAAAAAAAAGAGGTAATAGACGGTATATATCCTTTTGTCGTCTGACATTTTAACTTTTTAAACTCAGTATATCGTGAGCATATTTCCATGTATGTATACAGACCTACATCATTGCCAGCAGGATTTTATTGTCACCACCATCTGTGGTTAATTTTGCCATCCACATTTGTTGTTTCCAATTTTCTGCTATTATATGCTGAACTAAATGCCTTTATAGATAAAACATTTCCTTAAATAAATCTTCTTTAAATTAAAAAATTAAGTTAAATTAGAATTACCCGGGCCTGGAAAGGTGGCTGGCCTCATGGGCTGCTCCGTTTCTTGTTCATCATCAGTGTTTCTTACAGAAGCTGCCAAAGGCTTTCCTGGCTGCACCGCATCCAAGAAGTCTGGGATGGAAGACTTGATTTCAGGAACTGATTTCCCTGAAACGAGGTGGGAAGAAAGAAAGCTATTATCATTCAATGAAGGGGGCTAGCCATCGACAGGCTGGGTCCAGAAATCAGAGACCTTGATCAGAGTCTTGCCTCAGCCTCAAGTTCATGATGTGCCCCCCGAGAGCTGTTTTTCCCTCTGGGCCTCGGCCTCCCCATGTGTAAGGTGTAGCTCTTGGACCCGAAATGGTCCAGCTGAGACACTCTGTCAGACACACCTGACTTCCAGTCCTACCTGCTGTGTGACCTTAGACAAGTCACTTTCCTTCTCTGAGCCTGTTTCCTCACCTATGAAACAGAGAGATGATCATGATGATAACATGATAACATCTGCTTGCCTCCCTCACAGGGCTGTTGGGAGGGGGGAATGAGAGTGCAGACATGAAAGGCCTCTGCAGATCACACGGTTCCCTGAACACGTGGGGAAGTCAAAGATCTCCACCCGGCTGAGTCCCTAAGTCGAGCCCCTAAATATAAAAGTACTGGCAGTCCTCCAGCTTCCCCTTCCAAGAGCAGTGGAGACATGTGCATCCTTCCCTGTTTTAGAGACGGGAAGCCTGAAAATAGCAGCCACGTCAACTGCCAGCCGACACTGCACAACGCACAGCCAGGCCCAGCTCTGCACGCACGCAATCCTCCCAAGGTCCCTCACTGCAGCCTGGTGGAGATGAGGACCCTGAGGCCTGAGCAGGTTAAGTGGCTTGTCTGAGATCACACAGCCTGGTCAGGCAGGACCGGCTGAAAGAGCCTGGGTGGAGGTCACCTGTTTTTCCAGAGTAATCACTTCTTTGCATTGAATTGGGAAACCCCAAAGGTGCCAGAGGGTGTGTCTCCACCAGCTTCCACAGAGCCTGCTACAAGTGAACCTGCTTCCTCTCCCTTCCCCCCACCACTGCCATCCTCTCTCCAGGATGGTCCCGGCCTCCAGCTCCAGTGGCCTCCAGAGCCCTCCCCAGGCTGCATCTTGCTAAAATACAGACCTGGCCTCACCACCTCCCTGCTTAAAGCCTTTACGAGTCCCCACTGGCAGGATAAGGCACACACTCTTCACATGAATCCTCCTATCTCCCCACTGCCTCCCAGACCAAATCCAAATTCTACAGCCCTGCATTCAAGGCACTTCACCCTCTGGTGGTCAGAGGTGGACCCATGTTTGAGAACTGAAAAAACAGAGGGCACTGAAGCCCGGGGAAGGCCAGCCCACTTGCTCACTCTCACGTGGGCACCAGGTGGGGCTGAGACAAAACACACACTTCCAGCCTTTGAGTCTCCAGGAGCATTGATTCCAACAGGTAAACAGTGTCTCTCTCTCTCTCAACAAAACCGATCGTCAGCACGGGACCAAGCTTCTCAGATCCAAGCTTTGGGACTAGGACAATATTAGCAACGCCTCAGTGAATGGCACTACAGTGTGTACGGCCCGACGCAGATTTATTTGATTTTCCTGACAACCTCTGATGGTTAACAGAATTCTCTGCATTTTATTTTTGAGCATATTGAGGCTCAGACGGGTAAAATGGTTTGTCCCAAGTCAAACAGCTGATGGGATTCAAACCTGGGGCTGGTTTCCCTGTCATCCGGTCCGGCGGAGCCACCCACATGGCCACTGCCCTCAGCATCCCTACTCCCCTCTGCAGATGGGCCCCGACTGAGGAACAGCAGGACAAAGGGTACAGGCAAGTGAGGAAAGGCCAGAGGGAGTGCACAAAAGTAACCAGAAGGCCGAATGGGGATAGTGGGTGACTTTTTCCTTGTTTCCTTTACTGACATACTGTTCTTTTAAATGGAAATATCTTCTAAAAGAAGTAGCAGAGCTTAGCTGTTCAGAGTCCAGGCTCTGACCTGACACCAGCTCCCTCACCTCCCAGCTGTGTTTGCTTTGGATAACTTCCATGAGACTAAGGGAGATAGCACATGTTAACCAATTAGCTCAAAACATGGGAACTTCATTGGTGGTGTTGTTACCATACTTTTAAAATACCGGGTCACCTCTTAAACAGCCCAGAGTGGGTGTAAGGAGCGTAGTTCGGGAGTCTTTCCGTTTTCATTTAACACAACTCCGCATCATTTACACTTTTTTGTTGTTTTACTGTATTTGTTTTTTTAAATTGCGGTAAAATACAGTTAACGTGAAATTTATCATCTTAATCATTTTAAAGTCTACAGTTCAGTGGCATTGCGCGCATTCACACCGCTGTCCAACCACCACCACCATCCATCTCCAGAACTTTTTCATCTTCCCAAACTGAAACTCTGCCCTCATTAAACACCAACTCCCCCTCCCCGCTCCTCCAGCCCCTGGCAACCACCATTCTACCTTCTGTCTCTATGAATTTATTCATTTAAATATTTTGACTTGTGTGAGGTTTTTTTTTTCACTTTAATAGTAACTAAAAAGATATACGTGGATATCCATGATACGGAAAGGTGTTAATATATTTTTTAATTGAGATATAATTGACATAGAACATTATATTAGTTTCAGGTATATATCATAATGATTTGATATCTGCATGTACTGTGAAATGATCACCACAGTAAGTCTAGTTAACATCCATCACCACACAGTTACACATTTTTTCTTGTGATGAGAACTTTTAAGGTCTACCCTCTTAGCAACTTACAACTATGCGAAATACAGTATTGTTAACTCCAGTCACCACGCCGCACATTACATCCCCTGTACTTATTTATCTTGTAACTGGAAGTTCTCCCTTTTGGCCCTCTTCACCCATTTTGGGCCCGCACTCCACCTCTGGCAACCACCAATATATTGTTGACTGACAATGAAAGAGGATATATAATGTGTTACCCAGGTTTTTTTTTTTTTGTAAAATATGTGTAAAACTATAGAAGACATCTACATATGAAGAGAAAAAGAACCCGAAGGATATACAGGAAATGCTAACTGTGAACATTTCTGGATGGTGTGATTATCAAGGACTGTATAATTGTGGGTTCGGGGGGTTATTTGCATTTGGCAGAATCTTTCAACAGTGATCATGTATGTATCAGTTGCACAGTAAATTGTTTCTTAAGAAAAAAGTCAGTAAGCAAGCTTGCTCGAACAGGGACTAGAACGGAGCCTTCCGATGAGGGTGAGCAGCCCGAAAGCACTTGAGCAGCAGAGGCAGGGCCCGCCCGCTCCTGGATTTTGCCACTGATGGTCTAGGACGTGCGCTTGACACCTTCACTGTGTGTATCCTCACCCCAACCCTAGGGGTAGCAAAGAGGGAAACGGAAGCTCAGGGAGGCGGGGTCCCCTGCCAGAACCAATGGCTGAGCAGGATTTACGGACCCTGTGGGGACCCCGGAGAACACACACTTCGTTTCTCCCCACCTGGGGTCCTCAGGCACCACGCGCCCCCAACCCAATCGCCTCAGGGAGAGGCCCTTCTGGCCCAAACTGGGATCCCAGAAGCGAGGCTCCTCCCCAAGGGCAGTCCTACCGGCAGGACTCACAGACTCCCACGTCTCTGCTCACGTAATGCACTGCTCTCCACAGGCACAGGGTGACACCGTCCCTCGTGCAAAGTGACAACTTTGCCGGTGAGAGTCACTGGCAGTGAAGGCTGACTCGTGAGAAGATCCAGGGCAGAAGCAAAGACCCCAGGAGGAAGGGGTCCCAATGCCACTCTGAGCCCTCTTCCCCCCTGCCCTCCCCTCTCTGGCCCAGGGAGACGGCCCCTTGACGCACCCTCCCTCCACCAACTGCCTCAGTTGGGGTCCTACCCGTGTACCTCAAAGGGCCATGTCCACGCCATCCTCATGATGACATCTGTGTATGAGACACAAGGGCAGATGTGACTCCTCTGTGGCCCCAGCTCCCCTCGCGTCAGGCAGGCCGGGCCTGCTGGTGAAGGGGACCCCAGACAGCCCACCACAGTAGGAGGTGTTCCTGGCTGCATCAGCTTCTAAAGGTGCCACCTGCACCCCAACTGCCTGCGTCCCCAGAATAAGCGGCACTTCCCCCCATCCAAGGCCCGGCTGAGCCTGTTTCGTCATCAGACAAATGGAAGTGAAGGTGACGGTCCTGGCCTGACCTAACTTCAGTGTCCTATTCCTTATTTCTTTCCCTTTCTGCACAGATCTTTGCCTCTCCATCAAGACCTATGTGGCAGGAATACCAAAGCCACCCACCCATTTGTGGCTGACCTCCCCGGCCTCCACCAACAGGGGATAGAAAAGGCTTCATTATGTTCTCAACCTAAGGTGAGTCTGCAGTGACAGGCAGGGGCCTACAGCTGGCCCCGTGGTCCGTGCAAACATGTGGGACTGGGGCACATGCCCGCCCGAGGACGGAACAGCCCTGAGGCATGGGCACCAGCACCGGCGGGTGCCAGCCTGAGACAGAGCTTGTCAGCGCATTTCTGCTGCAGCGCCCCCTCCCACCTAGTCACACACGAGGGCCCCACCCAGCCACAGAGGCCAACATCAGGCCTGCAGGAACAATCAGATGACAAGCTTCAGTTTCCTGTGAAACCCCCGTTTCAGCCCTCTGTGAGTGTTCAGATGCAGACAATAAATAAGAGGCAGAAACAGGACACATCTTCATTTTGACTCTTAGGTTGCCAGTGCCCGATCTTAGTTGGAAGGCGCAGGGCAGGCCTTTGCTTGCCTCTTTTCCCACCAGCAAACCCAGAAGAGGGAGAAACTGTGGCTTTTCTGCCCTTAATGCCTGGAAGCTTACCCCTGATAGCTGAGCGGATACAACACCCACTCCTTTGGGCCGGTACATAAACCAGAGTGCCGTTGAAATAAAAATAGAACATCGAGGGCAGGATGGAGCAAAGGAGGACAAAATGTTCATGAAAAAGGGTCATGACGAGCTTTAAATCTCACGAGTTTCCTGTGAGTTTCCTGTCTGCCAAGGCCAGGACCAAAAAGCAAGCCGGTTACATCATTTATTCCTATGACTGATGTACGGGAACAGCCTCATGCTTCCAGGACAGCACTCTTTCTTCCGCTGGAATCTCACAAAGATTCCATGC